CAGCATTCATGTTCGTCGAACCGATAAACTCAAATATGAAGCAAAATACCACTCGCTGGCTGAGTACATGATCTACGTGGAACACTTCTTCGATCTAAAGGAGGTGGAGCATAGTTTGGAAACGGGCAATACAAGCCCACCTGCCTGGTCTCAACGAAGGCGTGTTTTTTTGGCTTCCGATGACGCAGCGGTCTTTCACGAGGCCAAATATCAATACTCAAGATACGACTTTATTGGCCGACTGAGAAACGGAAGTTACATTTATAATCGTACATCTAGTCAAGGCGTGTTTGACATGACTCTAGATCTGTATCTTTTGATTGCGACTGACTTCCTCGTCTGTACATACAATTCTAACATTTGCAGACTTTCCTATGAAGTTTTGTTGACGAAGTCGCCGACTAATGGTGATGCGGCATTCCAGGTCCAGTCGGTGGATGAAATGTATTGCACCCAATTCATACACAAGCGGTGGTGGAGAGCCATTGCGGACTTCGAGCGAGAGGGTGTCAAGCTAGGAAATCAGGTTTCTATCGAATCAACATAATGGGATGGATTTGTGCAAAAAGAATGGAGGTTAAACGGAACTCGGAATATTAAACTACCGGCATACATATTTCAAGAGATTGTTGAAACTATCTCTTAATTACAGATGTTGCTTTTATCTTGTTGAGAAGAGATTTTAAAAATTTAGTTTGCAATTTTTTGCTTATGCCAGAAACGCCAGATATCGATATAAAATTAGTTTCTTAACACTTTTACTGCGACTTGCGCCATATATGGTACACGCAATATGGCAAACTACGGGCTATTTTGGGAGTCGCATTCAAATTGTTAAGATAAATAATGCAAAGCAAATTCCACAATGTCCGCAGATAAACGTATAAATTTGTAATAATGCCAGCGGAAATTGTTCTTTTTACGGCAATATTTGGCAATTTTTTGCAGTTAGTGTTGATCCTTAAAATATAGGAAGTTTAAAATAGTATCCTTACAGTGAAATTGGAGGCAGAATTTAATGGGTCTTCATTTTCAAAAGAACTGTGAGAGCAAAAAGAACTGCTTAGGAAGATAAGATATAGTAGACGTGTAGAAATAGGTGTGGAAATTCCGATGAGGTTTTGTAGCCAACAAAATGGCAGTAGTATAGACTAACCTTTTCCACATGGATGCCTTTGATTGAGCGGTGGTTATCGGAGACATCTAGGTTCCTGGGGGACACTAGACAGTGAAAAATAGTGTAAAGGGCATCTTCTTAATGCCCAGAGGTCCTTTATCAGAGTCATGAAGAAAGATGCTCGGAGAAAATGAGGAGAATGAAAGATAAATATAATCAGCGTTTAGGTAAATGGACAGTCTTCACTTGAAAACAGACTTTCAGTTGGCAAGTTATTTCAAAGAAGGCTATTTCCTGGAGCAAAAAACAAAGATTATTTATAAGAAAAGGATGCAGGAGGAGGCAAAACAAGTGCCGAGTGTGTTAGGTAGTAAAGTGCGCTGACTGGGGTACTGACAGAGTGCTCAAAGAGATTTGTGCCATTTTTAAAGACAAAAAGGAGACAAAAGCCTGCTTACAAGTTCCTAATCCAAAAAAATCTTAGTATCTTTAATTTGCACGCATTGGTGTAAGAAGTACTGAAATTGCGCTATAAATCAGCTATTTGTGAAAGGTAGTTAGACCCTTTCAATTATTTAATGGCTTACTTAATTCAGCAGTCCAAAGAATGGCTAACAGTATTGTAAGATGGGAAGCACAAACATACGATAAAGTCTTAAGTTAATTTCAGGAGGATAACAATTATAGGAAATAAAGCTTTGGCCGTAATTCTATCGATGTGGGGCGAAATATCTAATTTATTGGTGCAGCTTAGACATAAGTCCTTGATGTTGGAACGTTAGGTCATTTGCAACCTTACAAATCACATGTTGTGGCAGTCTTTCAGTCCGAGAGCACATGTATCGGCATTGAAAAGGTGAGGACTCCATCTGCCATATTGACCTCCATACAGGACGATGACCGAAATAAAGCAAACATTTGCAGAATATGACGAAATGCTCAGGTAAAACGGAAAATGTAAAAAAATATGATTTTAATATAAATAAGGCAACCGCCACCACGACTGTCAATGCGGTCTTGTCAGCACAAACTAGAATTACATATAGCGGGCCTCCAGTCAGAGATAAGAGAATGAGCCCAAGATTGGGTGACACGAACACATCTGGATCGCGCTCAAATGCTACTGTTTTAAGTTCTGTCTTATTATTAACAAGTCATGTCGCATTGATTAAGACCATACTGAGCGTATCCTTAAGGTGCATGTTACGCTCGTATTATGAATGTGTTAGGTTTTGAAAACGTTTAAGAGTAGGGTGTTGAAGGAAGTATGCATAATACGTCGAAATACCAGAATGTAAATCAACGGTTTTAATCGGGTATCAGTAGAATGAGTACTTATAATTTCTGACAAATCTGCAACGCTTTCTGTTTAGAGAATATTATCTCTTTGGGTATTTTTGCTTGTAAGTTAGATGCCGGAGAGTGTGTTAGTGTATATTATTTTGCAATGTGTATTAGGATCAGGAATCCTTTATCTGGGGTATTGTTAAGCTCCTTAGATAACACGCTAAGAACAGGATGAATAATTTACTTAGAATGATGCCAAACAGATTGTATCGTATTTTTTTTTCAGCTTAGCCAAAATTCGGTGTTCAGGCAGTCGATCGGGATTCTACAGCATGTCGATCATTAGTGCTGTGGGTTTTAGCCAGCGCGAAAAATGGACATGTCGTTTGGCGCTACCGTATTACTCATCGCATGTAGATATGGGAAAGGAAACGTGATACACAAATTATCCTAGAGAAAACTGAGTCGAACTGAGTTAGTATCTGCCCTCTCAACACTGCCCATCAGTATGTGACCGTTTCCTTTCGTACTATAATACAGGGACTAGAAGTTTTAAATTGTTTGCGAATTTCAAGTTTTCCGAGCTTACGTGTTTTTAGTCTCTAT